ACTTTGAAGCATGTAAATCTGTTCTAGTACACCGCAAAAATAAAATTATGAACACTGAAAATGAGCATAATAGGTCCCCTTTAAGGTCAGACATAAAGATAAACAAAACTGCCTGCAGTAAGACAACTTTCCATATTCATAGATCTCAGGAACAAGAGTGCAGATCTAGAATCAGTATATCTGTGAACATTCACTTCTTATAGACCTACTATCCATCCATCCATCATCTAAACCGCTTATCCTTCTGGGTCGCGGTGGGGCGCTGGAGCCTATCCCAGCTGTCATTGGGCGGAAGGCAGGATACACCCTGGACAGGTCGCCAGTCCATCGCAGGGCAGACAGACAGACATACACATTCACACACACACACACACACACACCTAGGGGCAATTTAGCACATCCAATTGGCCTGACTGCATGTTTTTGGACTGTGGGAGGAAACCGGAGTACCCGGAGGAAACTCCACACAGAAACGACCCTGGTCACCCGGCCGGGAATTGAACCCAGGCCCTTCTTGCTGTGAGGCGACAGCGCTACCCACTGCGCCACTGTGCCACCCCTAGACCTACTATAAGACCTACTATTTGCTACTGCAAATAGTCAGCATGGCAAATACTAATCATTCATTCATTTATTTATTAAGAGCAGTTAATAAGCTAATATGTTGGCCCTTCTCGAAAACCTGGCAAACCCAGCACTGCAGAGAACCACCTTTCGCCTTAAAGATGGAGCTGATTTAGTACAGGATGATGAGGGGCTCATGAGGTCATCCTCTGTCCACAGCTATTTTAGTATATCTATACTTGTGCACTTTTGCATTACTGTTTTTTTTTGTTCCTTTTTTTTTTTGAAAAAACAATAAACGATTTAGTAAGCTCACTGTTAAATTAGTCAGCAGCGAGTTTGTTGAAGATAATACACATGTTCTATCCTTTTAAGTGTTTGTTGCTGGAAATATTCATATTCAAATCAGTTAAAAGATGGGTGGAGCTGGAAAGCTAGTTCACATGCACTCACTTCTACGACTGTTTGTGATTTACAGATAACTCACTCGCACTTCAAAGTTCTGTGTGTACATTCTAAGTACACTCTTGTTTTTATAAATCATTTGTGCACGACCTTAATAAAGTCCTGGAAGCAGTTTCAGCAGATTGAGAGAGGTTTTTTGGGATGCATTTCTACAGAACCTGTTTGGACTATTTGGGTGACTATAGAGTTGTAGTGTTTGTTAGCAATGTCAGCCTCATAGCTCCAGTTCCAAAGTAAAGAAGCAAAATTTGGACTCCAAACATGTCTGAGCTGTTTGACCACATCTATGGTAAATGGAAAATTGGGTATTTTTTTTAAATATCAAATTTCCACTATGCTTTTATTGTCAATAGTGGTAACTGCAACTAAGGGTTAACATCACTCCTGACACGTTCCTGTATGCTGTGGCTGCTTCTTTCTCCCCTGGCTCTCCTCTGCACTGTTATTGTGGGCAATTACAGTTTCCAGATGGTATTGTAATGGAGAACAATAAAGTATGTGTGTCTGGCTGAGCTAGCCCATCCTATCTCCAACGTCTCCATGTCATCTCTGCCAACCGGAACATTCTGTCTGAGCCTTCATTTGGTCTCTTCTGCAACATTTCCAATCTTCATGAAGCACCAGCAAGGCTTTCAGATAAATATGTATCATTAGCTCTCAAACAAGTTATAAAGTCATAAACCTTAATTCATTGTGATGTTCTGAAATGACCTGTGCAAGTTTCCCACTGCGTAGCGTCTGGATTGGCTATTATGTATTTTACACAAGAGTTTGATTTCTTTTGGAAAGCTGGCTGACATCAGCATCATTAAAGTTTATTAGCTATATCAGTAAGCACCTCTTCAGAGACAGCATGGTTCCTGCTAACCGTAACGTCTTCCACTCATGAGCTACGTCTGAGTGAACACGTCAGGTTCAGGTACATTTACTGGTGCTGTGTTCTGCAATCTGAAACGAGGCTCTCTTTGTGGTGTCTCGATTCAATACGTTACTCAGCACAGCAAACGTAAGGAGTGGCTGAAAATATGCTTCATGTTAATATGTGAATACATTTTCAATTTATTAGCGTATGTAATACTATAAAAGTAAAACAGTTGAAACAAAAGTGTCCTGATCTAACACTCTAGCTCATTTGCTAGCCCAAAGCTAACATGCTAGCCACAAGCTAACATGCCATTCATACAATGATATGATACGCTGTATTGTTACTTTCTGAATTTCTATACATTATCACATGCAAATTAGGGGAGTTATGTGATATTAGATGTTATATGCAATATTACAAATTAACCAACTGTCAAAAAGTAATAAACTCTGTGGGAGAACATGTTGAGCAATAAATCATTTATTATCATTTTAACACTTTTTCCGAGTAGCGCAGGCTGAAGCCCAGCTGCTTGCTTGCTGTATGTTGCTATGACAGAATACGAGAGATGATAATCACTGAATTTACATATGATACTTATTGTTGCTGTCCACAAAAAAAATTATCTCAATTTTTGTCCATCTTTATTTAACATTTCAACACAGGAAAATGTCCTTTACATTCTGTGAAAAAAGACCAATGAGTGAATCAACAGGAATGTCCAGAATCACTTGGAATAAAATCTCTTTATATTAAACATTAAGGGTTAAGAATGTTTTTGTTTTCTCCTGTAAACTTACTATTTTGACAATATTTGTTTTGGACAGTGACAATATGTTGCATGTATTTATTCATTTATTTATTTATGTATCCACACTTTGCCTTTATTACAGCTTCTATTCATTTAAGGAGACTTCTTTCTTTCTTTCTTTCTTTAAAGTTCAGTCTTATAAGCTGGTTGCATTTTCTGCCTCTTGTGATCCAAATAATCCCAAACACATTCGGTGGTCCTGGACTCTGAGGAGGTCAGTCCATTGTTCTGAAAACACCAGCAGCTTCTTTTTTTTATTTTTTTCTTTTCTCTGTAACAGCATGTTGAGCTCTTGTTACAGTGGAAGGATGAACAGAAACACCTGTGGATGTTTTTAGATCTGAAGAGTGGAGCTTGATTTTCTCCTCTCTCTCAAAGATGGAAGCTGGGTTTATCTGATGGTGACAGTTCTGGTGGTCATCCAGGGCTTGCAAGGTTGTTAGGAGGCACACTTTCTCTGTATCTTCTAATCATTTTTTACCCTTCAGTTTTGGAAACTGCTGTTTTTCCACTTGACTTTCTCCTTCTTATGCAAGTGGATTATCTCATTTCTAATTAATGAATTACCTTGTACTTAATGTCCATTTTGACTGGACACTAAATAAATGAAGGGCGATCGCTTACGTTTGTAATTACATTTACATTTAAATGAAATGGCAAAGCAACAGTAACTTTGAAGGGTTAAAACAAACATATCAAATAGTTGCCCAGCACAACACAGTGTCAGAAAACTGCCAGTATGTTTTTGACTCTACACTTCAAAGAAGCTGGTGGGCTGAATAACCTCACATTAACCTGGATTAGGAGCATTTCGGATGCCAGTGCAAAATAAATAATAATAATAACAGGAATGAAATGTCAGGGTGGAGCGTCTGGACGTCTAAAAACCATGTCTGAGTGCATAATCCCCATGTGTAATTGTGGAAATATGAAGAATGAAAGGCTTGTGGCAGTGTCTGAAGGAGTGTGGGGGAGTTTGTTTGAAATGAGAGAGAGAGAGAGAAAGAGAGAGAGAGAAGGGGAGGGTGAGAATGGAGAATGGCCTTTAGGCTAAAAAATAAAGTTCGAACCCGAAACGCGTTCAAGATAAACTGTAAAGCCAGTTTCAATCAGAAGCAATGAAGATAAAGACGACTCACATTCAGCTGATACTCAGAACTCATTTGATCTCACATATGTTGCTAAAATATGCTGACAACTCCATTTCCACCCTGTTTTAAGATATAAAACCTGCTTTCTCGTACAGCTGCCATCTGCAGTCTGGAACAGGCAGCCATCAAAATGTTTTTGTACAAAGCAAGCCAACCGAAATAACTCAAAGGGAGCACAAACACTGCACCGCTCAGTGAAAACACGTGGGATTCCAATGATAAATCACTCAGTTTGCTGATTCACCACGTATTAAGAGAATACATTTAAAGTTTAATGTCCATTGCAAAAACATAGCAAACTACTTGTCTATATTTACGTAACTGTTCTGTTCTTTAAATTGTATTCCACTGTCTTTCACTACTGCACTTCTGGCTTTTGATGGTTTCCCAGCATCATATGAATAGTCATGAACTTTAAGAGTGCATTAGGGGTGAGTTTGCGATATGCATCACAATATTTAGATAATTTAGATGATAAAACCATGACTTTTTCAACACTGCACATTCCATCTGTCCCAAATCCAATTAAACAGAACTAATTATGCTCTCTTTGCAACCAAATATGCAGTTTCTGGTGCTCTTTAAGTACTAGCGATATCCACAACATGCCCAGAAAAGAGTATTGTGACCTTATATTAAATAATTTTTCACAATAGCAATACATATTGTTATATTGCCCACCCCTAGGTGCCTTTAAATTTATAACAACTCTTTAGCCACTTGCAGTTCCTAGGCTTATTACACCCTAAGGCTACCCATATTTGGTTCCATTTGACAATGCAGCTAATTTTACTTATACATCATATGTAAATTTTACGTAATTTTACTTATACGTCATTCTATTGTCAGTGTCAGTATCAATCTTATCATTTCTCACTCCATGCTGGAATTAACCCCTCTAATTGCCAGGCCCCACCGGCAGGCCCAGAGTTTTATTACACACTTTTATTCTGAGAAAAGCTCAGCCAGTTTGTACTGAAATCCCTGTAGTTACTGAATAATAAGCCTTAGTATGTAATAAGCCTGGGATTTTAAGGAGCTAATAAGCTGTAAGCAGACTCCGCTGCTCGCGGAAGATATGTTTCCCTTCAGAAAGGTAATAAATGATGATAATGGTAATAAATATAAATGCGGAATGACTTACTGGGTATCTGCTGGATTCTGTGGACCACCACAAAGGCGTCAGAAAGCCCCACCTTCACCGGATGGTTGACGGAGCTGATCTTAGTGATTTGAATTGGAACCTGTTACCACACACGAAACACAGAAAGAAAGAAAATATTCACATTAAAAACTACATTGATGGCTAAAATGAACTGAGGTAGTGACAACTGATAAAAAGCAAAAAATAAAGAAAAATACTAGGAGTTTTTTTTAGCAGTATTTTGTAACTCCTTTTTTAGCCTTCATGACCACCTCACACCATTCAGTCAGTGTTCATTATGTCATCTGAAGGACAACAGTCCCATGCTTCCCATCACTAACACTAACTGTACACCAGCAGGTTGGATATAACAGAGGTCTTCAAATCCGGCACTTGAATCCAGGCTCTGGATTTAATGTCCAGATTTGTCAAACCAGAAAAAAAAACATTAATCCAGGACCGGAAACTGAATTCAAGGTCCAGATTTGTCGTACCTGCCAGTAATTACAAAATCCAGGACCAGAAACTGGATGCACTGTCTGGATTTCTCATAACTACAAGGGTGGACAACAGGCTACAGTCTGTAATTCTACACCTAGCGGACTTATAAGGTAGGTGGAGCTTCTAAGTACAAGGCAAGAGTATATAATAAGCTGGCAACTCAGTGTACACACATCTGAGCAATTATTTTTGACAAGCAGTGTACATACCCGCAACCCACAACCCATAACTACTATAAATTATTCAGTAAACATTATAAAACTAATTGCTATGTTGTGTAGTTCTGAGAGTGAGGAAGTGCAGTGTGTCCCCATGTACAGATCATTTGGGTTTATAGCCCATTTGTCAAACACAAGACATAATTGTATCTGGCCCACAGAATTATTTTGATTTTCTATAAATATTAGCCCATTTCACAATGCATTGCACTACAATCCCCAGCATGCATAATGTGCGCTCCCAACAACAATCAGTTACACCTCAATTCTACACAATTCCACAGCCGTCATTTCACCCTAGTTGTGACACACTAGTTGTGCTTTCAGCTGCAGCTCAACCAACATAAACACTTAGTATCTCAGAAATTGATCCCAAGAATGAATGAACTTGCAGCAAAGAAAAGATGACAGATTTGTAGATCAAGCAAACAGGTAGGTTTAAACGACCTACTTCCAGGGCACACTTAAAGAGGTTTATCTGTTACTAATGTAGCCTGTTGACAGATATTTGTTTTTTGAATATTTCAAAGTTTAAGGTTTACTACAAGTGTGTATATTTTGCTGTTGATGTTTTGCTGTATTTTGAATAGACAACGGCCAGTTTGGGTTACAGCGAAATTTTATTTATTTATTTAAAAATGAAAACATGAGTGTTCTCTGGTCCACGGATATGTTGAGATTTTTTAATATGGTCCTGTAGTGGTTAAGCTTGACACCCTTTTAAAGGGCTTATAAACTCGCATTATTCAATATATGCATTGAAAGTAGAGCTGTGCACAATAAAATTCAGCAAGATTTCTGCCCACAACTGACCGATACAGTATGCTGTAGTAATGAGCTGCTGGCCAAATACTATGCAGTAAACATAAACCATTATTATCAGATCATACAGGATCGAATAAACATTAGTCATTTATTGAATAAACAAGTATTTCTGTTTTAATAATTAGAGATTTCTTCTTAATAATTTAAGAATTAACAGTGACATGAAAGGTTTGGGTACCCTTGTTTAAATGATTTTCTGAGTGAAAATAACACTTCCTCTACAGTGTCCAAATATCTGTACATTTTAGCGCACAATTCCTGTTCATTTGCTGACAAAATTATAAAATGTAGCATGTGCAAAAGCTATTGCACATTTGTTACCTGTAGAGGATGTGTTGACTTATTTTCATGTAGAAAACCAAGACAACATATCATTTTATCTACTGTAACTAGAATTTGCTTAATAAGCGTTCTTTGCACATCTTCCAGCTTCATTTTCTCAAGCCTCGAGCAGGCTTTCAGAGCACTGCTTAGAATTGACATCATAAAACCTTGGCTGTGTATAATGGATTTTTAATATGTAAACAAAACGAGTTACATAAACAAAACAAAACAAACCCCAGTCTTCATGCACAGCTCTTACTGAGAGTTTTGATTAGAGAAAGTAAGGAAAGTGAAGGGAAAGAATTCAAATCTTCAGTCTGGATGACTGAAGCTCCAACAGTTTCCAACAATCACTTACACAGATAAATACATCAGTACAAATGTGTACATACACAGTAACTTAACATAATAAGGAAGAACATTCTCGCAATTTAATGGACGTTAATGGAGAGATTAAGTGATTTTGGAACATTTTGCTCCATTTATCAGGAAATTTTGAAACACTGTAAAACGCCAGTGAGTTTTATATTTTATGTCAAAAATAAAAACCACATGTGTTTTTGTCAAAACAGCACAAATAATTTATGCAATTAGAATAGTTACGTGTTTCACAGGCAGGCCCTGATCTTTCCTGCCAAAGCAGCTAAAATTCATTTTGTAGAATCTTTTTCTCTCTTTCGGGTCTAAAGCAATTGAGCCAGAGCTTTCACGACATCTAATAAAGGTGTGGAGTCTCCTCTGGAGAGAGTTTCAGAAAGCAGAGTCGAGACTGATATAGGTCCTCTGTACAGTTCAGCTACAGGATGCTGCACTCGTATCTCCAGCAGCTTTGTTAATCAGGAGAGAAACAAAATTTTCTCTCACTTCAGTGTAATATTCATATTCAATATTCATGTAATAATGAGAGCATTATTTTTATCACAACCGCTACTACTGAGAGGAGTCTGCACTGTGATTGCAAACACAGAATGAGATGAAAAAGGAAAGAGGACGAGAGATAGAGAAAGAGAGCTGGACTGAGACAGAAAGAGAGCTGGACTGAGACAGAAAGAGAGAGAGCAAAACACAAAATCGCTTTATAAAATATGATGAACATCAACACTGTCATACAAAAACCCCTTGTATAATTTTTTTAATGTTCCTATTTTTTACACCATTTGAAAATGTCACTGCCCTTTACATTGTGTGAACATTTAATGAATGGATCAGTAGAAATGATCCAAAATGACTTGGTATTAAGATCTTGTTTAATTGACATCTATTAAAGATGAAGTTGTATGCAAAAGCTTGGGCACCCCTGGTCACATGACATGCTGTGTTGATTTTCTAAGTAAAAAATAAGTTAGCACATCCTCTACATGGAACAAACTTAAGCATGGCATTCTTCTGCAAACTGCAGTGCACAGTGTCTATTTATGTGCTGAGTTTAACATATTGGAAAAAAAGGAAACATGAAATATAAAATATAACTTTTGCACAGGCCACATTTCATGATTATCCCCCCCATATTTTAAATTCAGCAAATAAACAGTAATTGATATGTATTAAAGCATGCAGAAGGGTGTTCTCTGCAGAAAATATATTAACTTATTTTCACTTAGAGAATCAACGGGCGCCCCAAATGCATAGGATTGTGAGAACGTCTTTTTGCAGCCTCCTTAAAAGATGCCATTTTAGAAACAGGAGCGTTTAATATGACAGCAATGATGTACAGCGATCAGATGGAAAGATCATACATCATAGAGGAAAGAGGGAAAGTGAAGAGACAAAATTAAGCATAGAAAACACAAAAGGAAAGATATGAGAAAAGCATCAGACCTCCTTGTAGGCGAAGATGATTCTGCCGTCGCTGTGCAGTGTAGCCTGGAAGGTGAAGCTGCCCAGACTGTACGAATCCTGAAGGTGAACGTGATCCCACTGAACCACCAGTGCAGTCCCTTCAAACACAAACACACAAACACACACACACACACACACACACACACACACACACATTCATATATATATATTCATATACTCATTATAATATATTCATATACATGCTATACTCTATTGCTGCCTTCCTCATGGCTGATGGAGATTTGATTCCCTGCCTGGGTAAGCACACCATGTACAGTGGCCTTTTCAAAGTGTAACTAAGCTTGAAACTTGTCCCAAAATCCACTCTGTATCATGATATATCTCTGGTTTTAGGCTTTATAACTCAGGAACAAGTTACCTTAGAGCCATGATACACATACTATAACAGTCAGCATATCATATCGTATAATATCAACCATCTCTAGCAATAGTGGTTATAATAAGCAACAGAATAAATCACCATCAAAATTCTTGTGTTTGCAGGTTATAGGCACTCTACTCTAGACACAATTTCTGAAAAGATATCTAAAATTTTTAGGCTGTACATGCAAAAATTCCAAAAATTTAGGAGATGCAAAATTTGCCAAATCATAGAGATATCACAAACAATTCTTAGCATTTACATATCAAAATGTGACCTGTCAGAGCAGCCTAGGGTTTTCTGAAAATAATAACATAGGGCATGTGTGAGTATGTAAATGTCACTACTTTGTAACTGTAACAAAAGATGGTAAAATTAGCTAGGATTAATTGGGTTAAGAGTAAGTTTTTAGGAACACTGACTTCTTGTACTGGTAATGCAGCCAGCTATTGTGGTATTTCTGGTTAAAAATTATTTTATTTGGACATCTGATATCACTCAAGCCTAATCTGCGTCTTGCATTCACTTTGAGCATGTTTCAGTGGCCTTATATACTCACTGCCACTCATTCACTCCCCCCACTGAGCACATGACTCCTCCCACTCATTATTTTGGTGCCAAATAACAATCAATAATAATCATTTGATTACAGCATTCTAACAGGGGCATTATGTCGTGATGTCATGTCAAGCATGTCCAATTATTTTCTGTCATGAAATGTAATGATAGCCATGTTGATTTCACAGAGAGGCCTAAAATGAAATAACTGGATGTATAGGGACTACAATCAATGACATAAGCTGATCTGTGGGCTGATTTTCTTCATTTGTTCCAGTGACACCACAGACTGATCGATTACCTGCCTGCCAGTGTGTGTGTGTGTGTGTGTGTGTGTGTGTGAGATAGCATGAATTTGTTAGTGTGCATGCACAAACTGGAAAAGCCTTCAAAAGTGTAGACACAGAAACACATGCACTCTCTCTCTGTATATATAACTGTCTCTCGCTCTCTCTCTTTCTCTCTGTATCTAACTCTTGGCATTAATATGGATTTCCCCCCTTTACAGCAGTAAAAGCCTCCACTCTTCTGTGGAATACTCTTCTTTCCACAAAATTTTGGAGGTCAGGCAAGCACTGAAGTTGGACGAGAAGGCCTGACTCACAACTGATGTTCCAGTTCATCCCAAAGGTGTTCAATTGAGTTGAGGTCAGGGCTCTTTGAGTTCTTCCACACCAAACTCGTCAAATCACGTCCTTATGGACCTCGCTTTGGGCAAAGGGGCACAGTCATGCTGGAACAGGAAAAGGCTGTCCCCAAACTGTTGCCACAAATTTTCTGTCTTTGTATGGTTTAGCATTAACAATATCCTTCCCTGGAATTAAAGGGTCTAGCCCAAACCCTGAAAAACAGCCCCATCCCAACCTGACTGTTGGCACTAAGCACTCCAGCAAGCATTGTTATCCTGGCATTTGCCAAACCCAGATTCGTCTATCAAACTGCTGGATAGAGAAGTGTGATTTATCACTCCGAAGAACATGTTTCCATTGTTCCAAGTCCAGTGGCGGCGACCTTTACACCACACTAGCCTATGCTTGACTTTGCACATAGTGATCTTAGGCTTGTATGCAGCTGCTCAGCCATGAAAACTCCTTTCATTAAGCTCCCAATGCACAGATCTTCTGCTGATGTTGCTGCTGACTTGTGGCAGCAACATCCTAGTGGCATCCTATAACAGTGCCATGTTCAAAGGTACTGAGCTCTTCACTACGCCCCATTCTACTGCCAGTGCTGGACTATGGAGATCGCATTGATATGTGCTTGAACCAATGGATGTAGCTGAAACACTTGAACATAATAATTAGGGCCATAACTTTTGGCCATACAGTGTAACTCTCTTTCAGTATCTAACTCTCTCTTCATCTCTCTCTCTCTCTTCCTCTTTGTCTCTTTTTATATCTAACTTTTGCTCTCTCTCTCTCTCTCTGTCACTAACTTTCACTCTCTCAGTCAGCATTTCTCTCTCTCTCTCTCTCTGTCACTAATTTTCACTCTCTCAGTCTGCATTTTTCTCTCTCTGCCTGTATCTCTCTGTATATCTCTCTGTATGTATGGCTCTTACCATTGTCGAAGTAAATGACGGTTGAATTTCGGGACAGACTGGGGTCAAAGTTCGCCATGAGTGGTGCGATGTACTGTGTGGCCGTCAGCATTCTGTGTACGACGTCTCCAGTGTAGATGAAGCCTGCAACACACACAGGTGAAAAGGTCAAATTCACTAATACATTTCAAATCAAATAAAAAATTTGAACATAATTCCAACGTCTCAGAAATCAGGCTCTTAATTACGCTGCTTCCTGTGTGACAGTGCTGAATGCTGAAATGCATCTCCTCTACTGTCCATCTCTGTGCTTCTCCAGTGCTTGGAGAGGTAGTGACAGGCATGGGTATTCACATATACAGATACTCAAACTCAGCATATGTTTAATTAATCTGAAATTCAAATAAGAACACCTGATAAGATACCTTTTATATGTTTTTGACATACTGTGTGACACAGAACTGCAGAGACACAAGCAGCTGATATTCCATCTCATGTTTAGCAAAACTACAAATTTGTAGGTGTATGTTATACAAGTTATAGGACTCAATTAGGATGATCAGTCTCAGATGCTCCATCCACAAGGAAGCAGATATCTTTTGCACACAAAACTGACCACAAGTATCAGGATTTTGTTGGCTGCATTCTGAGTGGCTATTCACATGGCTTTGTATAGATCATTCCACCAAATTGTTTCAAAGTTCTCAAACTCCTTTTGGACTTGTAACTGACTTGGACTTTACACTAAAATCCTTTTATTTTGAGTGACCTAATACCTTAATTATGTCCATTTTATTAAAACAAGTGACTAAACAGTCAATTTTGTCACTACCAGAACAATCACAACTCTACAGAAGCTTTCACTTTTGTGTAGTGACTATTTCAGTTAATTCTGAGCAGTACTTAAAAATGCTAGCCAGTACATGACTAGCAAACACAGCTTTGAACATGTATGTAAAATCATACGATTTTTTATTAAAACAAAAACAAGTTTACGTAGTTGCAGAAAAAATGTTTCAGTAGTGACAATTCTTAAGGTTACACACTGATTTTCAGACATTGGGACACATTTACTTCTAAACAATGGGGTCTAACTGCTAACTGTTAACTGCTGGCTTGCAGTCTCATTTCCTGCTCTAAAATGCAGGGGTGTGGCTCAAATAAGGCTCCACCTATGGACTAAAACTGTGTTTCGGAGGTGATGAAGTTTTTTTAGTTAAAAACTAAACTCATGTATAATATAAATAATAAAAACAAATAAAAAAGATTTTAAAAAAGATGATTTTTTTTCAAGTAGATATTATTTTCGCAAGATGAAATTTAGGAGTTTTGGGACAGACGCCTGCCAACAGAAAGTACCCTATAAATGATGATTTTGTATATATTTAGCTCATTACTATTTCAATTAATGCCTTGGGTTTAAATAATACATCATAACATGATCCTTGTAAATATCTAAGGTCTAAATAATGAATTGTTTTTAAAGATTTTAGAATAATCCATATGTACTTCCATGCATTTTTTATAATTTGGACGGGAGACAGAATTTGGTTATGCCAGCTAAATTTTAGTCAGTAATAGTGAACAGCTGTCTGCTCTTTACATTGTGATGAGCAGCAGAAAAAGCCTCTTGCATGGTGTGCAGCAGCACTTTGACAAGCAAAAAACAAGCTTGATTAAAGCAGTTCCCAGAGCCTAGAGAAGGTCTAGTATTTGTGTTTACTCCTGCTCCCAGCTAGTCCTTAACGTTACACCTGGTCTTACTGAAAAATGTAGGTTAACAACCATTTTGTGCAACATACAGTCTTAAAGTTTTGCCCCCAAAGTTATGACCAACTTAGCTAAACCTGTTGCTGCAACCAGGCCCTGTGTAGTTACACCTAAAAAACAAAGATAAATCACTAAATCAATCGAAACAATCAGGTACAGATCAGCTCCTCTGCAAACCACATGCAATAAACAAATGTTAAGTCTTTCATGTTATTCATAACATTATAACATCATTTCTTGTTGGAATGTTTGAATACTGTTGTTTTGAAAATGTGGATATTTAAATATCAGAAGTGGTTAAAATGCCCATCACTAATTGAGTGTGATTGAGTTCTCAGACGAAATGACCTGCAGAACACCTGCAAATAGCCAGTTATTCTTTTCTGGAGATCAAAGTCACAGATTATCCCATTAGCATATCAGCCCATTTCATACATTCATTCTCTCACAGTTACAGCTCCTGCAGTGACGCAGAAAAAAAAAAAAACAGTTCTCTGGCTCCTCCTTACTCATCTCTCCATCCTGGCACACAGCCAAGGCCTGCCTGCTAGTGATTAATTAACCAATTAACCATATAAACTCCCATCACTTTCAGTACCTTCAGCTGAGTCATTCACTACCTTGTGCATACACATGCCACACACACACACACGCACTATTACATGAACATACAAGCATTTCAATATACAGTCACATGCAAAGGTTTGTGCACCCTGGTCAAATAATATGTTCTGTTGATTTTCTAAGGGAAAATAATTTACACATCCTCTACAGAGAACACACTTAAATGTGGCATTTTTCTGCAGATTTCTGCACAATTTGTATTTATTTAACATTAAAAACATTATGTGTCATAGGACACATTATAAAGAAACTGTACTAGTGCACTAAAATGTGTAGAAGTGTGTTTTCTGTAGAGAATGTATGTTATTGTAACTTATTGACCAAGTAACTTTTGCAAACAACTGTATATGTCTGAGATGGGATGGAATGAAAATTTCCTGTTATGATATCAGATATTAAATTATCAGGATTTTCAATAATATCATGGTAAAAATTCTTCACGTATACTGAATATAATATGCACTGAAAATATTTCCCTCAACATTGTAATATTGAGAGACTTTTCATAGTTCTTTATAACACCAAAATAATCAACTGCAATTTAAAAAGTTATGAAATGACCACGGGCGGCACGGCGGCACGGTAGCGCTGTCGCCTCACAGCAAGAAGGGCCTGGGTTCGATTCCCGGCCGGGTGACTAGGGTCATTTCTGTGTGGAGTTTGCCTGTTCTCCCTGTGTCTGCGTGGGTTTCCTCCGGGTACTCTGGTTTCCTCCCACAGTCCAAAAACATGCAGTCAGGCTGACTGGACATGCTAAATTGCCCCTAAGTGTGTGTGTGTGTGTGTGAGAATGTGTATGTCTGTCTGTCTGCCCTGCGATGGACTGGCGACCTGTCCAGGATGTATCCTGCCTTCCGCCCAATGACAGCTGGGATAGGCTCCAGCACCCCACCGCGACCCAGAAGGATAAGCGGTTTAGATGATGGATGGATGGATGGATTTTCCTCATAGCATTGCTAGCTCTAACAAGACCTCTCGCCATCAGTTCTCAATTTTTGAGAGGAACAGTTTAGAACGTGAATGTTTCTCATGTTTAAATGCTTGCATTCAGAATCGCTGAACCCCCTCAAGCACCTATTAAGTGCACTAAAATTGGGAGAAAACTGCAAATTGAATTTCCTCCTTCAGCCATATGCACAAAGGAACACATCAGTGAAAGAGTTTGGGGATTGCCGGCCTGCAGATCTGGACAATCTGGACAGTGATGTCTGCAATCCATCACTGCAGCAGAGTGAAAAAGAACACAGAAATGCTGGAAATCACGTTTTGCTATTAGCTTCCATTTAGATAATGTACTGGGCATTTAAAAGTGATAGAAGAATAAAATCATGACAACTAAATATAGGCAATAAAGCAGAGTCTTACAAACGTACAAATATATCTTATGAACTTGATGTAAGGCCTAGATATATACACACTCTAACACACTAATACAAACCATTCACACACATACTCCAGCAAACAGACTGCAGTTGTGTGACGGTGATCTAGTGCTTTAGTCAAACAAGAAATATTGTCCTATTACTCGCCCATAAACTGTGCAGCATGTGGGCCGTTCCTAAACACCATTCAATGAAATTGAATTCAGGCCCATCAGGAAGTAAACACGGAATGAAAAGGACATTATGAACCTAATGAGAGCAGAACTGTGCTGAATGTCTGCAACAGTGTGTGTGTGTGTCAGTGGCGCAGTCAGAATTTCATTGACGGGGTGGGGTGGGGGTGTTAGGTGGGGCTGCATACAAGCTAGTAAGCATTAAAGGTCCCATATTATGTAAAACTAGGGCTCACAGTTAATCATATTTGAATCACCATTTTAAGAAGTGAAAATTTCAAACTGCAAGAACTGCAATTTTAATTATGCTCTTCATTATTCAACATTGTCTTAAGCTTCATTTGCTGAATTCTGGCGACAAAAATTAAAAAAATTCTAAATCACATTTATATCATATTTACAATACTGGTCAGAAAAACTGCACACAGATATTTACCACCAAATTATTTAGCCTTAAAAAAAAAACAGTTCAATGTAGTATGCACACATTGTTTCAAGTTTCAAAATATATTGTTCACTCCTTAATTCCGTACAGTCCGTATATGGAAACTGAGCTGCGACAATAGGTCATTTTGAATTTATTGTTTCTATGATGTCACGAAAGCTAAACCATTTACATTAATCCTCCTATTCAGCCTACAGCAGTTTAGCCCATTCACACTGAAGTAATAAGGAGTGTTTCAGTCTGTACTGCAGCGCAATACAGGACAGCCAATCAGAACACAGCTCATTTACAAATATTGTTAAAGACGAAGTAACATAATGGGATAAAGAGAAGTTGTAAATGACAAAAAATGAACGCCACAAATGAACACCACAGCGGGTACTGCTACTACTAACTAGAAAAGCAGCTTGTGCTGTGGTACATGTTGGCGTTTGGGCAAAAAAACATGCCTTTTTGCATGACCCCATTGGTGGGAAGCTGCCCCTTTTTTCCTTAAATTTTAAAGGAAAATAAGAACTGAATAATAATAGTAAATAATAGTATAAAAATATGTTTGTTCTCTCACAAAGAAATGGCTTATGGTAACTTTCAGGTGGGCTAAATCACACTGGCCACACTTTGGGCAGCCTATCTAAGGAGAGCTTTGTCAGTCTCTTTTATATCTTTATTTATTTAAGGTGGGAATAAAGTCATGAGAATGCAAGAAAATGGCAACTTTGCCCATGATGGCCTTACATTTAGTAATATTTT